ATCATTGGTAAAGAGGGAACTGATATAGTATTCAATCAATATAAAGGAAGAGGAGTTGCTGTGTTTACTTCCGGTGGAGACTCACAAGGTTTAATAGACTTAGACATTCTCTAATAATGTTTTGATAATTGATTAGGAATGAATAGTGCTGTTCGATCAGTAGCTCGAATGGGAATCTACTTAGGATGTAAAGTATACTTCATCCATGAAGGATATCAAGGAATGGTTGATGGTGGAGAATATATAGTTCAAGCTGATTGGAATTCAGTATCAGATATCATTCAAAGAGTATGTTAACCAGACACATGTGTATTGATAGTATAACCTTGTAGGGAGGAACAATCATTGGCTCCGCTCGTTGTGCAGATTTCCGTCAAAGAGAAGGAAGGCTTAAGGTGTGGATCGACTGAAACGTTTCCTTCTTAACTCTTCATTCATCAGGCTGCACGTAACCTTATTGAAAGAGGAATAACTAACTTGGTCTGTATTGGTGGAGATGGTTCATTGACTGGTGCCAATCAGTTCCGTGTTGATTGGAAGGATCTCGTTCAAGAACTGGTTAGAGATGGACAGGTCAGATTGAGGTTTCAGCTAAGAGTTCTCATAGATTTCTTGTAGATTACCCAACAGCTTGCTGACAAACATCCAAATATTCAAATTGTCGGCTTGGTCGGTTCAATTGATAACGACTTCTGTGGAACAGACATGACTATCGGCACAGATTCAGCTCTTCAAAGAATTATCGAATCAATTGACTCGGTAGTAGCCACTGCTCAATCTCATCAAAGAGCCTTTGTTGTCGAGGTTATTTCTTGCTTCAATGTATGTGACGTTAATCGATTGTTCAGGTTATGGGTCGGCATTGTGGATACTTGGCTCTCGTTGCTGCTCTTGCTAGTGAGGCTGACTTCTGTTTCATCCCTGAGTGGCCACCTCCATCTAACTGGCCCGAAATTTTGTGCAACAAGCTTCAGGAAGCTAGAGGAGAAGGAAAACGTCTGAACATCATCATCGTAGCTGAAGGAGCTGTTGATAGAGATGGAACAGCCATTACTGGAGATATCGTGAAAGACGTCGTCAAAGAGAAACTTCACTATGATATTAGAGTAAATTCGTAGGGAGATAACTCTTATATACGAATATGATTTTAGGTTACTGTGCTCGGACATGTTCAACGTGGAGGAGCTCCTTCAGCTTTCGATCGCTTGTTAGGTTGTCGAATGGGTGCTGAAGCTGTACTAGCGTTGATGGAAATGACAAGCGTAAACAACGGTTAATAGATACTGACTTATATCGAGTTTTAGGAAAGTGAACCATGCGTCATCTCGATCAGTGGTAACCAGATATGTAGAGTTCCTCTCATGCATTGTGTCAAGCGTACTCAAGCCGTTAGTTTTCAAACTTCAAGTTACGTTCAGATTTGGAATGTTTACAGGTTCAAGCTGCTATGGATAAGAAAGACTGGGCGCAAGCTGTGCGTCTCAGAGGATTAAGCTTCCAGAGAAATTTGGAAACCTACCGTCTTATCAATAAATTACGC